GGGATGTAATTTACTAGTAACAAAGACTGGATATATCTTTTTTAGACACAAGACTACTAAAAATTAAATGTCGTACCTCAAAAGTGTTTTTATCACATGAAAGTGATAAAAATAATACGATTTGCATGAAATAAATTACGTATGTATATGTGAAATTTTATAACTCTCCTATTTAAACATACAAAAGTTATCGACTCGACTTATTTCGTTCGTAGAATCTTTAAACGTCTCTACTGAAAAGTTATTATTTCGCAGATGTGGCTTTATTATACTAAAGGTATATAAATATAGTACAGAAGCCCCCGTTGAAGGTTCTGTCTTCAATAGTTACCTTAAAATGCATTTTCTATTACTATCACAATTATAATGGCCCATACAATCTATCTAAAATCTAATAAATTTCTTGTAAACTAGCTAAGTACGTCTCTGTCGTATATTCTCATAGCATTTTGCAGAATTACGAGTCTGTGATTTATCAACGTTGATATAATGCCTAGAGGCAAGTTTTCATCCGCCATTCCGAAGAAAGGCAAATCCCAAGAACACACTCAAGTCTGCTGATTTCATCATTTAGAAAAACCTATGAGAAGACTAATATTTTCTCACACGTCACAATGATTATTTATAAGCTGCAATAATCTCAGTACAGAGTACAAAAAAAAAAATCGACCTCAAAAGTACGGGGAAATTCATATTAATTACCAAATTTTATTGAAATCGGTAATCGGAATGTGCGCAAACCCTGAATTCATACCCTAGTTCGCCACTATACGGGACTTGACACAGGAGATAATAAAAATCGGTTCTCACTACTCAAAGTATATTGAGAGAGAAAAACGCCTTGAATTGGAGAATAGCAAAATCAACCATTAAAATAATTGCGGCTTATAATAAAATTTAGGCGCTATTTATAAAAATGCATCTTCATACGTGAACAGCCACCCTTAGAGGTGGATAATTTTCCTCAAAATTAAATGGGACCACTAGGGAGGTATTCCCTTTCCAACAAAAAAAAAGAATCATGAAAATCGGTTCACAAATACCGGAGTTATCGCGTAACATACATACAAAAAAAAAAGAAACAGTCAGCAAAAAAAGAATATTAAAAATACGTAAATAACATGTAGAGCTTTTCTAATTCGCAAAGTAAAATAAAAGATACAAGAAAGTGTACATGAAATTTATAATGTTATTTATATATATATATATATATATATATGTGAATGAATAATAATTTTGAATTGTAAAACATAAATGAATAATTGCTTAGAATGTAAAAGCTGGTAAGTGTTAAGTGGCGCCATCTGTGCATATAGAAATAAACTAGTTGAAGACGTAGCTCAACACATTAAACTTGAAGTCAAGTAGCGGACCGGACAATTTACTTCACGTAAGTGTAAAGAGATGGCGCGGAATATTTTTATTAAACCGGCCTAATATGACGGACTTCACAATCGCAATCGAGGACGACTAATAGTAGTATGGGTTTTTATTGCTTCGAGTTCATCCAAGAACTTATAGTACTGCCTTAGAGAAACTGCTAAGCGTAGAGACGCAATAGTCATAGTAGGTGACTATGGGAAACAGAAAATTGGGTACCCGCGGTAAGGTGCTTAAGATGCTGGCAGCGTTCCCCCTTTGTATTGCTATGCTAATGCGTTAGACAAGGTAGCGGCCCTTGGGTTACCCAGACAGTCAATGAATTTTTTCGATAAAGTTATGTACAGATGAAGGGCACTGGGACTCCACGGGCCAAGGGTTTCCACTGCAAAGGCTGTAAATAGGTAGTCGGAGCAGAGATCCTAGTACTTATTACTTTTTATTTTACCTTGCCCGACGCATTAGCATAGCAATACAAAGGGGGAACGCTGCCAGCATCTTGGTCATCTTGCCGTGGGGATCCAATTTTATTCATATAAAATTATATAACAACTAGAAAGTAAAAATAGGATTACTAAATAAAAATCGTTGTTTTACTTTCTAGTTGTTAAGCTTTTATTGTTTTTTTTTACCTTACCTGTACCTATATTATCTTAATTAAAACACCAAATTTCAACGGAAATAGAAAATAATGGATTTCATTTTTCAATTTGTCAATGATTTTGCGCATAGCGGGAGAGGTAGGTACGGGAGACCGGGGCTGGTAGTTCCCGGGGTAAACTGTTCTCACAGCAATAACTTTGCAAGGAAAATATGTAGCAAAACATGTGAAGCGCGTCGTTAAAGCATCAGGTAATGCTTCTTGCCGGCAGCCATTTCAGTTACTCCGGCGACGACGGAAGTGTGTGGAGCTGTCAAAACATCACGTAAGTAAATTGTTTCTTGTCTAAATTTTTTGGTCTGTCTTTGTTTATTATGGGCCGATTCCTACGTAATTTCTAAATTGTAGTGACATTGGTAAGGAATCCTATTGTTTGAGTATTTTTTTGATTGATTCATACATACATACATACAATTATAAAAAAGGTGGTTTTATTTAAGAAAATCTTTGTTATTCTGTCATAATCTAGGCGGAACAACTTGCCTCAAAGGCGGAACAGCGCGCCCCAAAGCCGGCCTGAATGTTCCTCTCCGAAATTTGTCAAAAATTTGTCTCTATGAAACAGACTATTGAGATATTAGTACAAGTGACTATACTATTACAAAAAGCGAAAAACATCTGCTCTATATTTCCACATGTCGAAAATCAAATCCTTCATTTTCAGTATAAAAAGTGCAAGTTATTTGAAAATCGGAACGTTCAGTCCCGCTCTCTCCTACCTATAATTAAATAAATAACGAGTATTGCCTTTAGGCAATTTCACTGAGACGACTGAAAGTAAAAACTTATAGAATTTTCATAACATTTAGGGATTGCTCTCCTAGCTACTTCTTGATGACTTTTTTTTATAGTTTTCTTTAGTTAAATAGACATACGCTAAGTGTTCAGTCCATTATTTATTTCATAGGTAATCTATCAGAAGTTACCCTTTCATTTAATCTTATTAATACAGTGACGTCACAATAATTCAAGACCCTTTTCATCATTAATGAATTTTTCAGATTATTTGAAATCATCGAGACTCCACTTTTATTATCAAGTATATAAAAAATAAACCTTTGAAGTGCTTTGAAGGTAGATACCACGATCTGTTCCAGTTCTGTTGTATATCACACGTACATAAGAAAGTAGAATTTTCACTGTTAGTTCAGGAATATTTCAACAGAGATCTACAAAAACCTGAGTCGCATCACAAATTTACCAGAAGTGCATTAAATGCCTTACTCAATATACCTAAGTTTAATAATATGTACGGAAAACATCAACCGAAATGTACAATACCATCCTTGATTAATAAGCTCCCAATTAAGTTAAAGAAAAGATCAATGATAAAAATATCAAATTTGTACTCAAAAGTTATCTTCTAGGTTTACCTTACAACAGTAACAACAGAACATAGGAATATAGAAAGAACTTAAAATAGTAACAAAATTTTTATTTTTATTTTATGTACACACCATTTAGCTTAACCTTCCTATATTTAGAAACACACCCTCATATACCGTTATATAAAAACTTATAATTCAAATACGTTCACTCCTAACAGTAATGAAAGAAAATTCTTACCACCTGTTGTGTGTATTTAATAATGGTATATAAAACAGATCACATAAATATTATTCCGTGCTTTACACGGTCTTTTGTTTCCATAGTCAAAGGTGTTTTGTGTCGAATATTCCATGAACGGGGACAATGCGCAGTGACTTCACAGCGTTCGTCAGCTGTCAATGCGTAGCAATACATAGTTTATCAGGCTAGTGGTGCTGGTTTAATACGTAATGTATGTGTATGTGTCTGTTTTTTCTAAAATACTTTTGGCGTGCTGTCTGTCATATTTGCCACGAACTTAAGATTAAGTTAGGCCCAGTTCCCACTATGCTGGACCAGCGAATTTGCCTGGAAACCGGCACTCGGACTAGATGTTCACATTAAGCCGGATCTCGTAAGAAAACCGGAGACTAAAGTCCTCACCTCCGTTAAATTCAGACCACTGCGCACGATAGATGACGAAATTGTGGTATCTTAAAATGGTTAATAGACTAAAAAGAAAACATTGGGTTCATCCTATTTTACAGGAAAAATTTTGAAAGGGCCAACTGAGAAGTGACGAGTCAAAGTTCTTCAATTATTTTCGAATGGCAGCATCCTCTTTAGACGATTTATTGACTGACTTTCGTCGTCATTCATACTACTCCGATCCGGCGTTCTGCCGGCGCGGCGGCGGCGGTCCGCAGTTTTACCGACCCGGCATAGTGGGAACTAGGTCTTACCTACAATAATATTTAATATGTTTTCAATTTTTTATATTGTGTAGATGACGACAGCACAATGTGCGAAAAATCTGTATAGATTTATGCACATTTATTTGTTTTGTTCATTGTAAATTGAGAAGTGTAATAATAAATAAATTTAAAAAATGTACAAATAAATGCTTTGTAGGAACTTGATAATAATTCCATTGTGAAACATAAAACACATCGAAATTATGGGCCAAGGTTCTATACGAGGCTTAGAAATATAATCTGTAGTAAATAATAAATAATATAAGTAAAAAATGCGCAATGTTCTTGAGCTCGGACGACTACAAGCTTATTATGAAATAATAATAAAATTTATTTATATGGCCCAATTTCCTAATAAAGCCTAATTTCCCAAATCTCCAAATTGCGCTGTCTATCGTTCTACATTCAATGTTAAAAAAAGTAATTGAAAAACATAGAGGTAAATTGACAATTTTATTAAAGATATATGTGTATATGTATATATATGTGTGTACTTAGTTTTACGTAATTTAACTTTCTAGTATTCCTTATTTTATTAACCGACTTTAAAAAAAGGAGGAGGTTCTTTCCCAATTCGATTGTATATATGTTGTGTGTATGTTATGCGATTACTCCGACATTTGTGAACCGATTTCGATGATGAAATTTGAAGAAAATATATGGCACCTCCAAGGGTGGCAAATTAGGAATGAATACGGTTTATCGGATTTCACCTACTTTCCCTTAACGATTTCGATAAAACTTAGGTGTAATTACACAAACTTTTGAGTTTTTATTTTTTATAAAAAAAGTTATATTGGTATGTAAGTATATGTCTGGGCTCGATGATAAATATTTCTTCGTTGAAGAATTTGATTTGCCCACTATGCTGCGAAGATCCCATCAATACTTTGTTGTAAGACTATTACGTAAAGAATGCTTTAATTTTATTTATTATATTCACTCGTCGCTAAATGGTAAACATATGTGGTCTGTGGTAAACTACAATATTATTTACGAACGTGCAAACAGATTTACTACGTCAAATTTGATTGTCTGGTTGAAACAGCCTTAAGATAGAAATCATCGCCTTGCTTTCTCAAACTCGTATCTTAAAGCATAAAGTTACTGAAATGCAAAAAATGGATTGTATATACAAATTTTGCAGGCTGATTTCACATCACATTTCCTTCATATTACGCACTGTCTTCTAAATATTCTTAAAGTAATGCATCCAAATTAACACCCTTGATAATAAATTTAAAATAAATAGAAAGTTTTGGCATCTCCTCAATAATCACTCTTTATAAGATTCGAGTTCGAGAAATAAGGCATCGAAATCTTTTGTTTCCTTTCCAACTATCCGGTGACGCTGCTGCAGGAGCCACCACTACAGATTTCACACGTGCCCATAGAAGAAGTACATACTTTACATTCCTGATTGACACAAAGGGTGCATTGTCCGTTATTGCAGGAGATGGTGCTCGATTTGCCTTGATTGTAAATGTTCCGATTGTAGTTGTTCCAGTTGATGTTCTTCCAATTGTAGTAGTTCTTGTAATAGTTATTATAATTACCGACCGTATTTGTGTAATAACTGTTGATTTGCGACATAGTATTATCCTGCAAATATAACATTGTCGCTGTTTTTATAGTCATTTGGAATTTCTTCTTCCTATCTAGTATGTCTTAGTAGCAGAAAAGTTTCCAACATTACCAAATAGATTTTAAGACTTTCGTGGTTATTCACTAAATGATTATCACTAATATCAGGTTTCTTACCACGGTATGACTTCTTTTTATTTTCCCGATATTTCGGAACGGTTGCACGCTTGAAATTGAGAAAAATCGCGCGCTTGCATTTTTGTATGTATTGGTCAAAGTCCGACAAGACGGTTCACTCGGTCATTCTGTGTACAGAAAACCAACTCACACGGACAAATATTTACATGCCACTTCATATCATCACCCAAAACACCTATATTCGGTTGTCAGGTCATTAACCAATGGAGCTTATGATCTTTGTGATGCACACTACCTACCACAGGAACAGGAGCACGTTAAGACGGTTTTGCGACAGAATAAATACAAAATAAAAACATTTAAACCAATATACAAAAGGAAGAAGCAAATTGACGTACAGAGACTACCAGTTTTTCTGCCCTATGTACAAGGGGTGACAGATAAAATAGCCAGGTTGCTAAGGAAGTGTTCCATAAAAACTGTTTTCACCTCCTTAACCAAAATAGGAAAAATGTTACGTTCACCAAATCAAGATCACCTTCTTTTACAAACACTGGTGTCTATAAAGTGAACTGCAGTTGTGGAAGCTCGTATATCGGTCAGACTAAACGAACAATTGTCGATCGTATGAAGGAACACATCCGAGCAGTAAAAAACAATGATGCACAGAAGTCGGCTATAGCACAACATCTCACACAGACTGACACTAACCACTGGATCGAGTTGCATAGCCCCCAGCTACTCTCGACAGAACGTCATTACATACCACGGTTGGTACGAGAAACCATCGAGATCACGAAGTACAAAACATTTAACCGTGATGATGGTTTTGCAGCAATAAAAACAAAAATACCTCGAGTTCAGTTTCGCGTGTGGATACAGTGAGTGTGGTTTGTGTGAAAAAAATGAGTGACAATGGTAACGCCACAACAAATCGCGATGAAGGTAGTCGTCGACAGCGCAAGAGGGTAGACAGATATGTCTGCTCTTAAAGCTGTCATCTGTCGCCGTCCAGTCAACCCGTGACCATGGAACGTGCAACCGTTCCGAAATATCGGGAAAATAAAAAGAAGTCATACCGTGGTAAGAAACCTGATATTAGTGATAATCATTACCAAATCGAGACTAGTCCGGACATTGGTTTTCTCGACTTTCCTATATGGCTTAGAGTCGTGGACGATCCGGGCATCAGAACGCAAAAAAATAATAGACGCTTTCGAGATGTGGTATTGGAGAAGGATGCTCCGTATACCGTAAACCTCTAGAAGGACAAACTAATTTGAAAAAAAAAATTGAGCAGCTTCATATCGCAGACAGACTTTCCACAATATGCTACCAAGAATCTTATAGTATTTTGGTCATATTGCTCGCCGACAACCAAACAACCTTGACAAACTTGTGTTGTGGTGGGTAAGGTGGAGGGAAAGAGACTCCGTGGTCGACCACCTTGCCGATGGAGTGACCAAGTAACCGCGCTCACTGGCCTCCCTATTACAACTGCCCTGAGAGAGGCCGAAGACACAACCAGATGGACGAAATTGGTAAGTGATGATAAAAGTCTCGAAATCCATTCAGGGACACGACCTTCAGCAATGATGATAACGACTAAGAAGAAGGTCTAGTGTGTCTTGGCAAATGCTTCCACTATAGTTACCGTAGGAGGGATTGTTTCAATATAGTGCCTTATGTAACAGGTAGTGAGTAAGTTGGACGTAAACGAGTATGCATTTGAAATGTCAGATAAGGTGTAAAAGCTCTCATGAGCTTGTATGTTGCGTATTACTATGAGTTATTTTTCATTACACTTGCTCATAAGTAGTAAGTATAGTGTGCAGCAGAACTAGGTGGCATTTTTATCATACGGTCCTAAAGTGCTAACGGTTGTTTTTTAATTTCTACACTAGGAACAAACTGCCACCGGCTCGGCCACCGCTGCCGCATGCCGCCTCACACCAATTTCCGTTACGACTCTAAAAAGCTGGTAATTTGTTTAGTTTTGTTTATTAAAATCTATTAAAATTATGTTTATAAGGTAGTAAGGCGTGACTCATAAATATCTTGGCTTAAGTACATAAATACATATTTTTGTTTCATTTGTAGGTGAACATAAAGTTCCATCCTCTAAGATATAAAGGAATAAAATTTTAATGCTTCGAAATGACTACTATCTTTTATATAAGATTATTTTTGAGATACTAAAAATTGTATAAACACAATTTGAATAACTTACTTTATAACGTTTTTGTTTCCTATTTTATTAATTTCCTCTCATGAGTAACAATAGTAACTTTTGCAATTGTTACATATTGATGGTTCTCAAAGTCGAGTACAACCAAGTCAAACAAAGTCTTTAGGCCACGAGGTTTTCCCGAGTGGCGTAAGTAATAGGTATGAGATTTTATTTTTTTAAACAATACTTTTTATACGAGTAAATTAAAATAATGAAACACAGCCAATATTTAAATAATATTTTAACCACTCAGGAGGCAGAAGAGCGTTTGAGTAGCGTCATATTTAAAAATTTATATTGTTTTCAAATAGTTCTTTTTTTGCCAAATGGCTTTTGTATCTGTTATGTAACATTTTAAGAAACTATTACATAAAAAAATAATTAAGACTTTTTCTTAATCATTTCATAATGTTTAAAATAAACTTAAATTGCATTAAAAATACTTTGTAGGAACTTGATAATAATTCGATTGTCATAGAAAAAAACACATCTAGATTATGAGCCAAGGTTCTACACGAAATTTAGAAAATATAATCTGTGGAGTAAAAAATGAGCAATGTTCTTGAGTTCGGACTACTATAAGCTTATTATTGAACTTCATTTATTCAGCCCAAATTTCCAAATCACCGATTAAAATTGCAATGTCTGTCGTTCTATATACATTCAAAGTTCACATTACTAAAGGCATTAATTATATCATTGAAAAACACAGATAGAGGTAAACTAACTATTTTATTAAAGATGTACAAATATGCGTGTACTTAGTTGTATGTAATTTAACGTGTTAGAATATTTTAATAATCGACTTAAAGTAAAGAAGGAGGTTCTCAATTCGACGGTATTTTTTGTATGTTACGCGATTATTCTTTTTTTTTTTCATTAAAATTTGAAGAAATATTGGTACCTCTAAGGGTGGCAAATTAGGGAATGAATCCAGTTTATCGGATTTCACCTACTTTCCCTTAACGATTTCAATAAAACTTGGCAAATAGGTATAATTCCTCAAACTTTTGAGTTTTTTTCATAAAAAAGTTATGTTGGTATGTAGGTATATGTTTGGGATCGATGATAAATATTCCTTGGTTGAAGAATTTCATTTCAAACAACAGTCAAGTTACTATGCTGCGAAGATACTATTAATACTTTGTTGTAAGACTATTACGTAAAGCATGCATTAATTTTATTAATTATATTCATTCGTCACAAAATGGCAAACTACAATATTCTTTACGAGCGTGCAAGATTTACTACGTCAACTTTGATTGTCTGGTTGAAACAGTATCAAGACAGAAATCGTCGCCTTGCTTTCTCAGACTCGTATCTTAAAGCACAATGTTACTGAAATGCAAAAAAAAAATGGTATATACAAATTTTGCAGGCTGATTTCACATCACATTTCCTTCATATTCAACAACTGGCCTTCGTATTCCACTTATTCTTCAAGTAATGCATCCAAATTAACATCCTTGATAAGAAATTTAAAATTATAAATAGAAAGTTTTGGCATCTCATCAATAATCACTCTTTATAAGATTCGAGTTTGAGAAATAAGGCATCGAAATCTTTTGTTTCCTTTCCAACTATCCGGTGACGCTGCTGCAGGAGCCACCACTACAGATTTCACACGTGCCCATAGAAGAAGTACATACTTTACATTCCTGATTGACACAAAGGGTGCATTGTCCGTTATTGCAGGAGATGGTGCTCGATTTGCCTTGATTGTAAATGTTCCGATTGTAGTTGTTCCAGTTGATGTTGTTCCAATTGTAGTAGTTCTTGTAATAGTTATTACCGCCCGTATTTGTATAATAACTGTTAATATGCGACAACGTATGAGCCTGCAAACATAACATTATCGCTAATTTTATAATCATTTGGAATTTCTCCTCACTGTCTAATGCTTCGGACACAAAATGGGTTTAAAATTGAACTACTATCCACTGTAGTTACCGTAGGAGGATAGTTTCAATGGTAGTAACATGAAAACAGACGAAGATATGAAAGTGTGACGTAAACATGTATGCATTTGAAACATCAGATAAGTAGTAAACGCTCTCATTGCGCTAGTATGTTACGTATTACTATAAATTAGTTTTTCATTAGAGTTGCTCGTAAGTAGTAGTAAGTATAATGCGCAGCAAAACTATGCGGTATTTTTATTATACGGCCCTAAAGCGGTAATGGTTGTTTTTTAATTTCTACACTAGGAAAGCGGACAAACTGCTACCGGCTCGGCTACCGATGCCGCATGCCGCCTCATACCAGTTTGCGTTACAAGTCCAAAAAGCTGGTAATTTTTTTTCGTTTTATTTATTTATCAATTAAAACTTATGTTTATTAGTTAGTAAGGCACAACTCATAAGTACATAAACTGATTTTTTTGTTTAATTAATGTATGTGAAGCAAAAGGAAAAAAATAATGCTTCAGAATGAAATTACTATCTTTTATATCAGATTCTTTTTGAGATACTTCAAATTGTATAAACACAATTTGAATAACTTACTTATAACGTTTTTGTTTCCTTTTTTATTAACTACCTTGCAAGATAATCAATAGTAATTTATGCAATCGTTGCATAATGATGGTTCTCAAAGTCGAATACCGTCTTTAGGCCACGAGGCTTTCCCGAGTGGCCTAACTAATAGGTACGAGATTTTAAGACCTAATTATGTAATGGTTATACAATACTCTTTATACGAGTCAATTAAAATAATGAAACACAACCAACATTTAAACATACAATACTTTAAAAAACCAGGAGGCAGAAGAGCTTTTGACTAGCGTCATATTTGAAAATGTATATTGTTTTTAGTAGTAGGTACTTTTTTGCCAAATGGCTTCGCTTTTGTATCAGTTACGTTAATCAATTTTTTTTATTAAATACAAATTTGAATTTAGTAATTTCACAAATATGGCGACGTTATTCTGTTCACGAACAGTGACATGTTTAAGGACACTCTTCTAATTACCAAAAATACGACATTCTTTTCTTTATAGTTCTGTGCACAGAACTGTAATGAGCTGTGTATTAATGGCGGTTAATAAGAAATGATTACCAATAGTTTGACAGAAGCCCGAAGCCGAAGGCTCTAGTGACTCGACGTTTGTAATTTTTACCGCCCGTGCTACATACAATGTTTTTCATCATATGTGCGAGAAACTAGATACGACGATCATTTATTTCTTGTATGAATAAATAATGCTTTGCAACATAACATTTACGGATTTAGCAAATGCCGGTTTTTTTATACAGATTGCCAGCTATCTATATGGCCATGATATAGCCATTATATATACAACTCGAATTAAAATGTTAAGGCACAAACGCATGCAGCCACAATGTATTAGATATGAAATGTATAATTTCCAAAGTCTAAAAGTACTGCAGAATTTGAATTCATAAAGTTAACATAATAAAATATAATTAAATTAGTTTTTTTTATACTTCAAGCTTATGCGAAATATACGTTAAGATTTTTCGAGCATAAAAACTTTTTGCTTAATCTTGACGTAAAAATCCATAGTGCGATAATGTAATGAAAATCCTTATGCATAATGTAGGACATTACAGTCGACTTTGCCTGCATATTATTATGACACTTTTTACGAACAAGTGTGGTGGAATCGATTTTTTCAATTCAGTAGCCAGTAATATTGACAATAGAATTTTGGTTCAGAACTAAAAAGAACGTCTGTGTGATATGGTTTATGAAATTATAATTGATAGATAAAGTAATTGAAAACAAATGTTGCCACATGATTGAAACACCGCCTTTAAAGCCTTCCGTTTTGGATTAGATTGCTTACTTGCTGCCTTTGTAACTCAATGTACTATGACGTCTGCGTCATGCATCTGCATGAACATTACAGAGCCACTTTATGATTAGAAATAAATAGGAAAGAAATTTGTACATGAAAAATGTGTATAGAGCAGATATTCCGAAATACATTATACATATAAGTACATTTTGAATATTAAATGTTTCAACAGGTTTTTTCAATTATTATCATACACATTTTATATATTATATATATACATTATATATTTTATTCGAACTGGGTTCTGATTTACCTTTCTGTACATGTAGTTGATGTTTTTGTATAAATTTTGTTTTATGTGTGAGATGGCTAAGGATGGGTGGTAGACATTCCGTTGATTTCTGTAGAGCAGTTGCTTGTTGGAACTCGTGTATGGCCATGCTCCTAACAGTTGGAAGCTCTTATAGTTGTACTGCTCTCGCCAGTTGTTCAGGTAGAGCTGTTGTAGATTTTGATAGTTCTCGAAATTTGGTGTGTTCCGAATGTTTGTATTTGATGTCAGTTTCAATTTGTTTGGTACTTCGGTGTACTTTCGCTTGTCTATAGTTTCCTGCTTTTGTATTGTGTGTTCATGTGAGTCATCGTTTACGACTACCGAAATGGCTTGAGACGTTACAACTATTAGGAAATATGTAAACTGGTAAAAGAAAAGTCCAATTAGTTTTGGTTATAGCGAACACTGACACAGGGCAGTTAGTAGCATTCTCGCTGGTTCACTATCACTATCTACTGGTAATTTATAAAAAGTTGTATGGTACCTGTTAAGTGAAAATAAAATGAAAAAGTATTGCTGACATAAACACAGACTGCCGTTGAGCACTCATTTCAATTTTCAGTCATGAAGATTGTTGATAAACGATTGGGGATATTCGATATAAATAAAAAGAAAACATAACCTTGCTCTTGAGGTGTACACCTAACTTTTGTTATAATATTGTTCATATTGTAAATGCTCATCCGAGGTCATCCGCATAAAATGTTTAAAAATATGTTTTGAGTATTCTATGACCTTCAATTATTCGACTTTTAATTAAATGGAAATTTTATTCTGAACAGGTACAAGCTTTGAACAGCACCCAATTTGTATTAGTGACTGTAACTTACTCTATTAAACTTCATTTTCCAATGCCAATTATTTACTTCACGGAATTACTGAGTGACATAGGTACATGTATTCGTCTGCAATATAGGATATAATCAGTGGTTACAGAAATAGTCATGCTACATTTTTTCTCAAAGCAGATTTCAGAACGAAAATGTATTTTAATGAGCTAGTAGCACAAATAAGCTGTATGCTCATGGTCAAAACTTACTCTTTATAAGCCTTCGGTATGATTGTGTGATGGGTATCCTTCTCACTTTATCAAAGAATCAACAAAACCTTGGTCACAGGTGCTGAACGCGTTGCAAGAATGCATTATGTGTCGCACCACAAAATTGAGGTGTAAGTTAATATGGTCAAAACAAAAAATTAATCAATTCTAACATGAATTCCTGCTTCACGTGTAACGCTATAAGAAGCAAAACATTGAAATTTGCAAACGCCCTTGTGCATGCAAGTCCAAATGTAATCAATAATTATGCTTGTTTTTGTAAATGTTCCTACAATAGCACAAATGGATACTGTAATTTAAATGTCTTGATATGTAGAAATTTCTTGATTGTTGGCTATGTACGTTTAATATATTTTGTAATTGGAAATGCAAGTTCAGCGATTGATTATGAAGGATAGTTTGTGTTTTATTGAAATAAAAAATATATGTCTCTAATGATAAAAACTTTCAGAGTTAACTTTTTAACGTAGTGAAGTGTGTTCCTTCTAAAAAAGAACACTATGCTTAACAAGGTTAGGCAAATGTTAATGGTGTGTTAAATAGATTGGATCAACCGCCGTTCTCTCTCTTATTTATTTAATGGTAGTTTAACATTTCGGCTATCGTGACAGTTTTATAGCCAAGTATGAAGTTAAGCAAAAACAGAATAAGAATTGGTCTGATGATTATATGACAAAAAATATTTATACCACAATTTTTACAATAGTTGACTACTAATTTATGGAGAAACTTGTACGGTAAGTTTTGAAATAAATACGCATACCGAAACTAATACTTATAAGCAATAAGTAAATTGAATATATAGAGCAATAACTAAATAACTTTGACTTTAGACGTAACAGTAGACAGCATACAGATAATTTTGCCGAACAAAAAATAAGTAAACTGGGGCAAGATGATTATGGTTTTGGTGCACGAGATGATCCGTGGGGATTATCTTGTACTGTATATAATTGTTAACGGACTATATTTAATTTGTATGTTTTCTGAGTACTGAAAAGTCTTAATTAAATAACTCGCAAGTCGAATAAAATAGTAGAAGACTGGATTTCGTTTACATGATCGATCTCGATTAATAAGAAATATAAATGCTTTTTTTGTTTTAGACCAGGCCGCGTAATTGTAAAAGAAAAACCATTCTTGGTGGGTGGTCGGAAGACTATGATCTAAAGAACTAGAGGCGTAAAAAGTAGGACGCCACATAGATAGGTATGTAAATAGTTAGCAGTAGGTACGCGTTATGTCATTAAAAAGATGGGCTAAAGGTAAAAATAAAGGGTCTGTCAGTTTAATGAAATATTTAGGTGAAAAAATGATTGCCTTTTCATCAGATGTGTTAAACAGGAAATCGAGCTCGTAAAGTACATTAAAGAAATGGAGACGAGGATGGATATCAACTTGACTTAAAAAAACAATATCACCCACCCTTAGGCACCTGTAAGATATAAATTAATTAGGATTATTTTTTCTAGAAGTTCCGTAACTGTTGTTTCATATATCTAGATTACATGAGTGAGGACTTTGTAATAGTTGTTGTTTTCATTTGTTTCTACCAAAACCTAGAAACTTTCCTAAATAGAGGCAAGGTGATCCCTTGGATCATCTTACCCATATCCTTAGGATCATCTTAGACACCGCGGTGTCCAAGACGATCCTTTAGTAGGGTTTTAAAAATATTCAAATATAATAATGAAAGATCCAAAAATAAAACGTTTTTAGTAAGACAACATGTAAATAGACAAATTTTCTATCCTTCAACGCTTTTACATCTGCTGTAAGCTGAATATCTTTTAAACTACCACCATTTTCCCTTAAGGGGATCATCTGGTACACCTGTCACCTACGTATACACCCAAACAGATAAGGCAATCTCTATAAAGAGGTATTTGGGATCCTAATTTACATCCTTCCACAATATTCCAAGCCTTAGTTATGAAGATCTGTTCAAGAGCTATGGCTTTGTTTGGTTTCGGGTATATGATACAGACCGCTCACAGAATCGGGCGTATGATTGAGGCTATCAGTGCAAAAGCGGTGTAACCCCATGAAATGCTTAAAGAAGATGGATTTAAAATTAGTCAAATTCACAAGTCGCCTACACAATCCTAAAACTTTTTCCCTTCCTACTTGTTAAACTAACTTCGGTCAACACTGTCAACTGTATCGCATGTGCTCTTCTTACATAGCATAGCATTAACAGATTTAATTTTTACAAATTTTTTATTACTGTCATTTATTTAGGTAATATTTACACATTTTTTAAATAAGATTTGTTGGTAAATCAATGCTTAAATAGCATTGCTCTAAAAGCTCATATTAGCCCTGCTGATCTGATGTTACAGTAATTCGCATATCTGGATGCATGGCATATATGGAAATAGTATTCAAGTATAGAATAATTATGTACTTTAGATCATTTAAAACAATATTGCAAAATATATATGGGTTACCTATATGGGTTACCCACATCACTTTTGCGCTGATAGTCCAATTATGAGCCATGAAATGCAGACACTAGACAAATGGCAATCTTTGATAACGGCTTAAAGGTTGAGAAGGTACACTGAAAGGTCAAACATAAAGATAGGTAAATAAAGAATCAAGCAAACGCTGACAAGACATTTTGAACGCTGAAACGGTTCCGCAACTATTGACTTTGGACAATCAATATTTCAGCAGTCGTTTCTTTAAAATTCTGGAACATGGTAAAATTAAGTTATTTTGGTTTACCTTATCATTACATTGCGATTCATAAAAGGTTGTTTAGTGCGGTTATAACACTCACTGTACATTTGAATAGAAACGTATAATTAACGTCGGTCCGTTGGTTTGCACGATGTTTATCGTTTGATCAAATGCGTGGAGAATGTTAACTTTTACTGTTAATTTGGTGTATAAAAATTGAAATTAATCAAATGGTTATTAATTATTTCGCTAGATCGTGACGCAATGCACTGTATCATTGCCGTGCTAAGTTTAAGTTGATAATACGAACGAAGCATTTTGTCGCTAAAATGACGGCTTTGATGTTCGAATAGTCGTAGTAAGAAAACAGTTATTTGACCTCGGATTACGATCCGCCTGGGCACATCATAATCTGTCTAAACGTATATTCGATCTGTGACATAAATGCATTATTATTTCAGAACACATCATTATTTCAATATGGGTAATGCTAACATATTATGTAATAGTTAAGATAGAAAGAAAACGTGTCAGGAGCGTAAGATTGTTTATCTTTTATCTTGAACAAGAAATCTGTTCAAAGGAAAACGTACTGTCTTAAGATTATTGGTTATTCTTTTCAGGACAATGAATTTTGCAAAAATGTTAATTTTATTTTATAGCACCAAAGCCACTGTGGAACTACGGTAAGAAATATTTCTGCGGTCATATCTCATCTTCTGTCGTATAAACAACGACGTCGTATATTTTTATTTTATGGTTAAAATAAGTGCGCATTTGACCTCCATTTCACCCAATGGAAAGTGAGGATGAGGTCGACGATGGAGCATGCACACCTATATAATGCCTATTCACTTTCGCTTTGAAAGGCCTAAGTTATAGCGTTCAGGAAACAAATCTGCAAGCAGAGAAATCCACTCCAGTTCCGTAGGTACGCCATAAACACGTGGAAGAATGACGCTTGGTGCAAACCTCACCTTACGTCTAGTTCCTCGTTGATAGCAAGCGGATGACGATATGGTTTCATGCAATTCCGTCGGACACTCTCCATGAAATCCTGTAGAATACTGATAACCAGACAACTTTGTAGCGGTGTTCAAGATTTTCTAGCTCCGCCTCTACTAAAGTCGAATCACTAATAAGCCTCTTGTCACGTTTCTCAATGAATCGGAACATGAAAGTGACTAGTTGGTGTTTAGCAGATTCATTACATAGGTGATAGTAATACATGACCGGACTTGCGCACAGTATCTTGGAATGGACCAAGTTTCTTGGCTGCATTCATTAAACGACTAACCATGGAATCTGAACAAGATTAGATTTCTTTACCGCAGGGTCTTGCATTAGAGAAGTATCTAACCACAACAGTGCTGTCATCAGTATAACCGAAGGTGGCTTGAATTAACAAATATACAGCAGAAAATGAGTTGCGGAACCCCGTGGAAGTCTGCCTATATAGGACAAAAAATTGGAATAATAATAATAAACATTTTTATTCATACTCATAAATATAAATTTAATATCAAATAATAGAACATCATTTTCAAATTCTATGGAGTAAGTCATTAGTAAAAAAAATAATAAAAAAATAATTAGAAGGTCGAGCCTCAGGTTAATGCAATACGAGTTAAGCTGTTGCAGTACCCACCGAGGCTTATATATTAATTTCAATAAATGCAATCATAAACAAAAATACACTGTACTTTATTATTTATTTATTAAGCATTGGTTATAGAGCCATCAGATTAAAGAGGTATCAAATAATTAAGAAACTCAAAACGCACAAATCTACTTAACTAAAAATTTATTCGTGCAAAAACTAACTTCAAAAACCCGCCATATTTTTCTAGCCACAATGTTATTATTTATTTATTGAGTTTTGGAGAACCATCAACACATAGAGGTAACAAATAATTAAGAAATACAAAACGTAATAGTCGTTTATTTAAACTAAAAATTGATACATTGTACTTAGACCTTTTTTCTATCTACATATCTATTTAAAACAGAATAAAAAACAAACACTGACGACTTGGCTGTATGTCATTTCTCTTCAGTTCAACAAGGTTCATTGTTGTGTGCACGGGTAAAACATATGGTCTAAGTATAATAATTTAATGTATTGACCATAGATTTAGTATATCCATAGATTGGCCCTGAAGTATTGGAGACGAGACCAAAACAAAAATACATCTGTGTGCGTATAATGTGCATGTGTGCAAGATAAACAGTGTTGCGCCATCCAATGATTTTACTTTAATATCGATTAACAATATTACACCGGCATTTCACTTCGTATTCATTTTCATGTCGTATTCTTCAAAATGTCTTATCGCAAAACGCCGAGACGTTTATCAACTAATTAATTAATGGTTCAATACAAAATTAATAAAGCTACCTACTATCACCTTCTGGCAGTGCCAT